GCGGGGGGGCGGGGGGCAGCAGTCTGGGGGCTTTCTAGGGTCAATTTGATAGGGTAGGGAAATTGACAGGACAATTGAGTGTGTATGATGGGCGCAAAGATATTGACAGGAGAGGATGTGGTGCTGGGACTTCGTCCACTATTGCACTGACGAGGGAAGGCGCTGGATGAGAATCGGCCCTGGAAGCGTTGGTTTAAAAAATCGGATTAGTTATAAGCAAGTGGCATCGCTATGTCGTTGATCATGTTGTCTGTGCAGCTGTTACTACGTGTAATTGTACGCTTGTCTTGTGTGTCGTACAGGCTTTCAGTAGCGCGTCAATACCGGTGTCGTCGTTCTTCACGATATTGCCATCCGTCACTGCCGTCGTGAGGAGGCTCTACTTCGGAAGACCAGGCGGCTGCCCCTTGCGGATGATCTCTCGTCTATATACGCAGTACTTACCTCTTTGGTTGACGTTTGAAAAGACAACCCAGGTTTGTAGACTAATGCGTACCACCGCCGTGAGTGCTGATCCTTTGCCTGTACGGCTAAAACCCAAGGCACAGACTGTCCCCATTCAAATAGGCCGTGAGGCCGTGTACCCACAAGGCAACCAGCATCCCCACCTGCCCGTCCCGAAAGTCGTCGTGTCCGAACAACGACCTAAGAGCCTCGCGTGCATCCTCCATGCCTAACAAACCCTCAGCGCTGGCTCCTTCCGTCTTGCCAGGCGCTGCGCTTTCATCACCAACTGCTAGCGTCCGTGTTGACACTATGAGTCTACCCCTAGTGTTGCCAGCGAGAGAGTGGGGGCGTGGTCTTCTTCGTTGAAGAAATGAGCGGCTGGTGGTGCTGGTGCCGGTGGTGCTACTGCTTCTTCTGCTGCCCGCAGCAGCACCTGGAGCGTTGCTGGCGGTGGGTAATGCGGAGTTCGGTCGGGGATATCTCGCTGTGAAGGCCACCACCCTGCCTTCCAAGCGACTGAGAATCGGTACCAGCGTCATCATGATACGCAACCGATGCGTGACCATGTCGACTCTACGACTCTGGTGCTTGTTCACGCTATGATCTTTGGTACCGTAGCCCGCCGCACATAGCTGTCCAGCTTTTCTTGAGAGGCGGTGAGAAAAGAGGGCACCCAAATCAAATGTGCGTCGCCCCCGCCGTCGAACATGAGCTGGGCAGTACAACACAATACACTGCACTGAGTTGTGGGTCCAATGTATGTAGTTGTGGGCACACCTCGATACTGGCAAATGGCAAATGGTGAACGGTTGAAGCGCCCACATTGCCATGCCTCTTTTGTTGACGCTGTTGAAGGTTGGGGTTGGAATTTAGAGAATCCGGTGATGGTGGCATAAGTACGTGGTACAACACAGCAGCGTACAACATCATCTATCTGTACACATCAGCGGTGCAACAAATAAATGAAGCGTAAATAACGTAGCGATGGCATATGGATTTGCGAGTGTGTCATCTGCTGAAAAGTAACTCTAAACCACAGTAGGTCGCCAGGATCCCGCCACTAACGACTAGAGTTCGGTAGATGCACGACCTCCGAATCCCCTCCCATGGGAGTTTTTGTGTTCATGCGTTGGAGTTGATCGATAATTCGGGTGGCTCAGTTCTTTGTGTTGGGAGTGGAGAGCATGTCGTCCACGACGGGCCGTGGATGGGTAGAAAACGTGTAGGGAAAACGTGTTGTATTATTCGGGGGCGTGCTTGCGCTCGTAAATCTGTCACGGCATCAAGCACGCGTCACGCTCATCACGGTTGAAGTACCAAACAGACCTATTATCCGAATCTCCATCAAACTCTTCTCACTTCCAAGGAAAATGTCTAGAAAGTTCTGGTCCCTTCGTACCTCATCACTGCAATTTCCGTAGGTATGTGTACCAAAGATAACCCGTCATACTATGCTACGAGTACCCCCAATATATCTAATAGCCCCCCTGCTCGTATGCATCCTCATGCTTCGGCAAATATCAATCCTCTTCTGTACCATCATCATCTCCAAAACAAAACAAAATGTACTCCAAGATAATCACAAGAAAAAATCCCAACACTACCAAAACTCCTCCAAAACAAACAAGAAAAATCCCAACACAACCAAAACTCTTACCACCTTCACCAGACTCTCTCTTTCTCTTGTTCGATCTCATCTCTCTCTTTCTCTTTCCTTACAGAATACGAATCGACCCCAAACACCCCCTTTGCTGCAAGTTCATCACAAAGTCACGGTGCAGCGCAAAAGACTCCTTGCTAATTGCCTTCGTCAAGAAATCTGCATGCTGAAATTGCGTCGGCACATGAGCAATTGAAATCTCTTTCCTCTCTACCAGCTCCCTGATAAAGTGATGCCGTACATCGATGTGCTTCGAGTTGGAGCTCGTGATTGGGTTGTGCGCAATCTGGATCGCTCCCTGATTATCCTCGAACACCGGGATGCACGGCATACCCGCACCTGGCAACATAAAACGCCACACCTGCCTCAAGAACAATACTTCCTTCAAGACGTCAGCAATTGCCACATACTCTGCTTCCGTGGTGGAAAGCGTAACGCACTTCTGCGTCCTCGAAAACCAAGTTACACACCCACCCCCACACATCACTAGCCCCCCGGACACCGATCTACGGTCTGTCGCCTTGCTTGCATAGTCGGCATCCACAAACACCTGCATGCTCATCCCTGTCACTACTCCCCTCTCAAATGTAATCCCCATCCAACTCATCCTCCTTACGTATCCTAAAATACCGAGTGCTGCCTTCCAGTGCACCATTTAGGGAGATGCACAATACCGCGCTACTGCTCGTACCGCGTTCGCGATGTCCGGCCTTGTTTGAGTGGCCAACCACATCAGAGATCCTACCAACTCGCGAAAAGGGACATCAGCGCACGCTTCGTTCTCATCGAAGTCGGTGAGCTTCACGCTCACAGGCAAGGGCACACTCCTCCCCCACTCAATGCCGTACTCTGCAGCCAACTCTTCGGCAAACCTCTGCTGCGAAATCTTCAACAGCCCTCTCTCTACGTCTCTCTCGTAAAAGCACGTGGAGTACCACCTCAACTCTCCAAGGTTCTTCACGGGGACCATCTCGTTGAGATCCCTGCCAAACTTGTCACCCCTCTCCTTCTGCCCTACAGCAAAAATGTCATCCACGTGGACCACGATGATCATGATCACACGTCCCTCCTCCATCAATCGAAAAACACATGCATCCGCCAGACTCTGCAAAAAACCTAAAAGTAACAAACACCTCGTCAGGTGCGCATGCCAATGTCGTGATGCCTGCTTCAAACCATACAGACTCTTGCACAGCTTCACGATCAGGCCAGATAACCTACCACACCCCTGCGGTAAGCGCATGAAAACATCCTCATCAAGCTCAGACTGCACAAAAGCCTGCTGAATATCAAAATGGCACAAGTCAAGATTCTGCTCACATGCTAATGCTGCCAACAAGCGCACACTAGACACTGATACGGTGGGTGCAAACAATTCTCCAAAATCAATCGAAGCCCTCTGCATGTCCCCCCGCGCTACAAGTCTTGCCTTGAATTTCGTCGGCCATCCGTACTCGTCTGCCTTACAGTTGAATACCCACTTAGCATTGATGGCGTTCTCTACTGGTTGCTTCACCGGACTAAAAGTTCCTGCATCCAACAAACCGAAAAACTCTCGACCGACTGCATCATCCCACAACTCTGAATGTTGAGACCGCATGGCCTCCTTTAACGTTTTCGGCACGCGGAGGTCGCTGGCGAGGCAGTGAGGAAGGTCTGGCATCTTATCGGGCGGGCGCTCGGCGCGAAGAGCGGCGTCCACATCCTCGCGGGTGGCGAACATCGTTGCGAACATCTGCGGTCTCCCCCCCCCCCCGGAATCCATGGCCCCCCCAGCTCCCACAGCCCCCCCGCTTCCACGGCCTCCAAGACTCGGATCCGGCTGCGGCGGGGGCGGTAGGTCGCGGCGTCCTTGGTCTACGGCCTCCCGGGTGGCGAGCGACGAGATGAGGGTGGCCTTGTCCATCATGTCCAACAGCCCAAGGCGGTGGTGGAGAGCGGTGCCGCCACCTGGTGGTGACGGCGGTTGTTGTTGCTCATCCATGAACCGCACTCCATCGCCGCGCGTGCGGCCGTGAACCCTCGTGTCCTCCCGTCCCAACTCCTTGACGGCTCGTTTCGAAAGCGGCGGGTGCGGAGGAGCTGGGGCGGCGGGCTGCGGCGGCGGCGGCGGCAGGCCCGGGGGCGAACGGGGCGGCGTGGCTGCGGTCGACGGTGGGGCTGATGATGGGGCGACGGAGACCGGCGACGGGGCTGAGGATGCTGTCAAGATTGGCGGGGAAGCGGGCGGCGGCAGTGCAGTGGTCGCTGGTGCAGGCGGGGTGAACGTGCATGTCCTTGTTGGCGGGGGCGGCGGCGGTGCGGCATCGGCCGGAGGTGCGGCGGCGGTCGGCGAAGGCGCCGCGGTGACCGAAGACCCCCCCCCCGATGCCCGGCACCGGCGCCGGTGCTCCCGCCCGGCGGTTGACCCACACGACGTTGTTGGTGAGGGCGAGGCGACCGGTGTCAGCGCGAAGAACGACGGCGGTAGACGTGGAGTGGTTGTTGGCGCCGTGCAGGTAGAAGCAACGCACGGATTGGACGTCCGCTTTGATGGCGCGCTTGACCCGCATTCTCCCCTCCTGGAAAAAAGGGACGACGTTGAGCGGCGGCTTCCTGCCGAAGAAGGCCTCGAACGGCGACATCCAGCCCTGATTGGCCTTCGTCGCGGAGCGGTTGAAACAACCGGATGCCCAGAGCGCCGACGAGAGCCACAGGCGTTGTCCGTTGGCGCCGATGTTGGGGACGGAGGCGAGGTCGACGTGGGCCATGGAGAGGATGTGGCGTCGCGCGGCGTGGCCCCCCTTTATCGCACGCCAGATGGCGCTCTCGGCGACGGCGTTTTGTTTGGGGGTGTCGGGCGCGGTGTACTCGCCCCGGATGCCAACGGCGTCGCAGAACTCGATGAAAGCGGCGCCGGTGAACTCGCCGCCGTTGTCCATGCGGAAACATCCCAGAGTGCCCATGCCGTTCATGTCGGCCAAGAAGCGCTTCACGTACTTCAGGGTGTCGCTCTTCGCCCGCATCCCGTACGCCCGTTGCCACCGCGATGCGCTGTCCACGAACATGATCAGGTACCGGGAGCCGTCCATCGCCTCGGTGAACGGGCCCGTGAGATCGATGTGGACCTTGCCGAACGGCACCGCCGCGCGTGTCCCACGCCGCGGCACCGGGGCCCTCCTGCCCTTCGCCTCCACACAGCCCACACATGGCTGCAGCTCCCCGACCAGCCTAACACCCTGCTGCTTGGCAGTCTCACGCATCAAAAACTCGTTCACGTGGCCGGTGGAAGCGTGGAACAGATTAATATCGATGTTTGGCGTGGATTTACCGATCGCAAACGGGGAAGCACCGGGGGCGATAATCGCCAACGCGTGGGAAAGAGACGGAGGGGCTGCGGCCTGCTGCTCATTGGACTCGGAAAGAAAACCTCTCAACACCTCCAAATCATCATGCTGCACAGTGAAAGCCAGGGGAGGGGGCTCCGCAGGCTCAGAGAATTCAAGCGCATCCGGAAAAAAATCATCCGGGGGGACCGTGTCTTTGCTATCCATCAACCCAACATCCAGAAACATGCTCATGTCCATGATTGGTAATGCATCCATGGGAGAAAAGGGGGTTGATCTCGATCTCGCGAAAGTCTGTCAGCTCTACGGCAGTGGGAGACACAATCGAAGACGATTCTACGGCAACCGTAATCACAGGCTGAAAATCGGGGATCGTCGTGGGGGTTGGGTCTACGTCGACGGACGAAAAAGCACACATCGGAAGCACTACACCGGAAGTGGTAGAGGGGACGCTCGAACTCGAAGGTACTACACCGTCGGATCCGGTGGGCTGGACGTCTGCAGTCGAAGGTACAACGCCGGCCGGTGCGACGGACTGGAAGCCAGAAGTCGCAGGTACAACGCCGGCCGATGCGACGGACTGGAAGCCAGAAGTCGCACTCGCACTCGCACTCGTGCCCGTTCCTGCACTCTGGAAAAGGGAGGGGGTGGCCGCAACAAATCCTGTGCCAATGCTAGGCGGGGACGCTTGGGCAGAAACACGGGGGGGGGGCATCGGGGCTGTATGTCACAGCACTACCAGAATATTCCGCAGGTAGGCGAGTCGCCCAAAGAGAACATCCTACGTCGCAGTAAGTGAATGAAAGTCGGCCATCGAAGAGGTGCACGCCATGTTCGTCTAACGTAATCTTCTGCCTACGCTGCGTATGGTGCACGGAAAACAGGTTGAAGGAGATGCCGGGGACTACGTACACGTCCGACATCTGCACGCAAAAATCGGTCTCACCCGAAGGACCGGGCATGTGGAACGCCATGTTTACCTTCCCAACACAATGCACGCGCAAATAGGCACCGTTACCTACTTGGATGTACTCCTTACCGGGCGGCACTGGCCTCAAGTCGAACATTTGATGGCTGCTGCTAACAAACGTGTTGGTCGCGCCGCTGTCGGCCCAAAATTGCTCTCTGCCAAAATGCGAATTCGGGTTTCGTGCAGCCAAAGCAAATCCATTACCACTCTCACGCTCGGTACTCGCTACAACACCACTCGGAACGATCTCGCCTGCAGACACGAAACGTGCCATCAAGAAGTGAAGGGAGCCCGGGGCCGGTGCTGCTGCTCCGGGAGGAGATGAGTGGGGCGGGGCATGAGTCGAGTGCTGCTGCTGCTGTGGCGGGTAGTACAGCTGCTGCTGCTGGGTGTAGTCAGGCGGAGGCTGCTGGTACTGTGGCTGCGGCTGCTCCCAACCCCCATACTCGCTACTATTTGCGGGCCCCCCGTAGGGCGTGGCACCGTAATCATGGTGCATCACGTTTGAATGCCCGTGCGGGGGTCGCCATTGCTGCTACTGCGGGCGAGGGGGGGCTGAGTTTCCATACCTTTGCTGCGCTCCGCGTCCGCCGTGGGGTCCGTGCTGGGGTCCACCATTCCACCCCCCCCACCGCGGCCGCCTTGTTGCTGTTGCTGCTGCTGTTGAGGACGCGGATGGTAGTACTGCTGTTGCTGAGGCTGCTGCGGCTGTTGTTGTTGCTGCTGCGGCGGCTGTTGCTGTTGCGATGACTGCTGCTGCCGCTGCTGATGCTGCTGCCTTTGCTCTTTCTTCCGCTGCTGTTGAGAGCACTCCGCGTTGGTGTGGGTTCCATACGGATGAAGGTGACAGTGCCGTTCTCCTCTGGTCTCGTCGCTCCTGTTCCGACCGTCGCCTTTGCCGTCCTGTCCACCGCCGTTCCCACTCGACCCATTTGGGACACGTCCGTCGCCCCGGGGCGCACCGGAAGCGACGAAGGCGTGCCCCACGCCACTCTTTTGTTCCTCCTCCCGTGCGCGCACCAGGTCCGTATGGGCCTCCTTCACGGAATCCTCTATCTGCTCAAATGTCAAATCAGGGGTGCGGTCCAACAGTTTCTTCTCTAATTTGTAGTCGGATGACAGGGCGGACACCAAGTGGTCGTTGGCTTCGTTGTCGGGATACACTGTCCCGTGCGACGCTAGCCTACTCCGCAAAATAGAGAACCTTCCGAAGTATTCTTGTGGGTTTTCACCCTCATGCATCGCGAAGCTATGGTACTCCTTCAAGAGTCTCTTTTTCTCGGCTTTCGCTTGGGGCTCGTAATAATACTTGAGGAAAATCCTCCATCCCCCACTCGGGCTTCCGTCTGACACGATTTCCGACAAGATCGGCATGTATGAGATTGACGTGATGAGTAAATTCCACGCCACTACAGCCTTAGCTACCTTCTGATCGCCATACTCAGTCTTCAGGTCTACCATGCTGATTCCTTGCCTCCCTACTGGGATGTCCTGGTGGCTCATCACTACTTCCTGGACATCCTCCTGTGCAAACCGTGCTACCATGCTCGATCTGAAAATCAAAAGCTTCTGCTGCCTATTGTCCCCCGACTTAAACACACCATCCCAAGGCTCAATGCGTCTACTCTCAGTCATATGGAGAGTTGCAGGGTGAGGTACTGCACCGATATCCCCTGATGATGAGGTCTGGAGGCGACCGGCCATGGCAGTCGCAATCGCGTTGGCCAGCTCGTCTGCGGAGGGGTTGGGCGTTGGGCCCCAGTTTCTTGCTGGTGTGGTACACCTTGTTCCTCGTTCCCGCTCCGGAGATCTTCTGTGCTCTGCTGCTCGGCTCGATGCCGTACCTCCATCTCGGCCATCTTCTTGGCCAGTTTCTCCTCCATCATCTGCTCCATCCGAGCTGCTACTCTCTCGTTGACCAGTTCTTCGATCCTGGCTTCCTCCGCTGCTTGGCGGGCCTCCGCTGCTTGGCGGGCTTCATCTTCGCGCCTGGAGGTAGCCATCTTGACCCTGCTCTCGATCGCCGCAAAGCGATGCTCCTAAACCAAGCTCGACCGCGAATGAATCTCGTAGACGACGTGTCATACGCTAGCGTGATCGATAATTCGGGTGTCTCAGTTCTTTGTGTTGGGAGTGGAGAGCATTTCGTCCACGACGGGCCGTGGATGGGTAGAAAACGTGTAGGGAAAACGTGTTGTATTATTCGGGGGCGTGCTTGCGCTCGTAAATCTGTCACGGCATCAAGCACGCGTCACGCTCATCACGGTTAAAGTACCCCATCAAACTCTTCTCACTTCCAAGGAAAATGTCCAGAAAGTTCTGGTCCCTTCGTACCTCATCACTGCAATTTCCGTAGGTATGTGTACCAAAGATAACCCGTCATACTATGCTACGAGTACCCCCAATATATCTAATAGGAGTAGCGTGGTAGACTGACTGTACTGCTGCTGTGTGTTGATGTGCCATTATTAGTAAGCCATCATCGCCTCCTGTCCCTTGGCGGGGGGGTTCCGTATTTCCCATCCCGTCGCATCACGCCCGAAGGTTGTGCATCTTCACAATTAAGGAATAATAAAAACACACACAGAAAGACTACCCATTCGAGATATACCCACAGTCGAACGGGATGTGGTGGAGTCTGACAATTGAAACGGGAGAGTCAAAGCTGGTTGTTCGTCCATTTTCATCCTTGCGACCTTGCGCGTGCATTGTCATCGCCCACACAAAAAAAAATAATTGTGGTCTGTTTCGAACAGTCAGTGCAGTGACTTGCGCGTGGACAACTGTCGGTGCAGTACGAAACCCTGCAACTATCCGTATCCCCTGTCGTAGACGAGTGCGGTTCATTCCACTCTCCATCATCACGGGAAGGAACGGGAACGCTTCGCCGCACCTTCGGCGTTTTCGTTCAGCAAAAAATTCAGGGCTATACGTAGTGTTCGATGGGATGGTAAATGTGATGGTAATGGGATGGTAGTGGGGTGGTAGTGGTATTATGGCAGAAGATTTTCGATCTCACCACGTTTACCATCCCACTACCATCCCATCGGATCCATCCTACCACCCCATCCCATCTAGAATTTCCCATGTCGCTCCCATCCCATCTACACTCCCATCCGAATGGCGTATCCCATCCCAGCTACTCCCCATCCACATCCCATCCCAGCCACTCCCATCACAAAAGTATATCCTATCCCAGTCACTCCCACGACATGACACCCACATCCCATCAAAACACCAGCCAGCCGCACATTTCCCACTACTGTACCCCCCGTGCGTACCTATTCTATAAAAAGAACGTACCCCCTGTTGCACGAGTTGGCACCTCCCCCGCCGCCTCCTACTCGACCTGCTGCATCTGGCATGTCTAATATTGTATGTAGCTATGTGTACACACCGAGCACGCGGAGCCAACAGTAGTGTGAGTCTGCACGACGACATGCATTCTACAGCAACAGCTCCTCGGCGGGAGGGGTTGTCGTTCTTCAATTATTGTGTAGCTGTTGCTGCTAGATGCATCTCTCTGTGCTAGTTGATTAGCGGGGAAGGCAACCAAGTAAGGCGTACCATATGAGAAATAGCAGCCCGTAGATATGTGCGTGTGTGTGTTTTTTTATTAGCATAACCGCGCTAACCGGCTGACCCGGAGGGGGCAGCATGCGTGTGTTTGTGTGTTTGTTTCTGTTCTTTCCTTTTTTATTTGTGCGTAGCATCTCGAATGAAAAGGGTTATGTTGCATAGACTATAGAGATCTATAAGCGAGCCTTACTGGCTGGCATGATTGTCAATCACTCACCCGCCTTTTTGTGCTGTATATAGCTGTCTGTGTCCTCGCGATGAACAGGAGAGAGAGGCGGCAAACCTTTTGATAAAAACTATCACCATGCGAAAATTTGAGATGTTACCATCCCATCCCAGCAACAAGGATTGGCCCATACCATCCCATCCCATCAGCGTGAAGCGCAATCCCTTTCCCATCGGAGAAATTAAGCCCATCCCATCAAAGCTGATGGTAAGCGCAAAAAAAATCCGCCTGCGGCGGGCTTTTCTTACCATTCCCATCCCACGGGGCGTCGCCACGTTTAGCCCTGAAAAAATAGAAGTATTTCCTTATTATTTTTCTGACGGACACCGCCACTCTAAAACATTTTTAACCAATCTGGAATCTAAGACAGCACACGGGATACCAACAGAGACACGATGTGCTGCTTCCACGCGAAGCGACAGAACAAAACAAAACCCTCATGCACAAACACGAAAGAACAGCGGACCGGCAATCCACACACGAAAACGCCACAAGCGTCCGGATGGCAAAACGCGCTGTCGTGCACGATGAATAATCCCACTTGCCTCTACGAACACCCACCAATAACTCAAGCACAAGTAAATATTCGAGACGAGGCACAATCGACAGACAGGGTGCAAACAAAACGCAGGTGGAACTGGCTAGTCACCTCGATGGTACAGAGTGCACCTTTAAACACAACATCGTACACTAGGTTCATGTACACAGCTTGACTCCCATTTGCTCCCAGTCAGGCATTTTTCGTGTCACGGCTCGCTCGCTTCCATTTCTAGCCATCTATTGCCACCAACCGCACCGCGTCCAAACTCCATCCAAACTTTGACAGGAAATACACAAAACAATCATAGAGAGACCACTTCCATCAATCTAGTATCCCCGTTTAGTCGATCTCCTCGATCTTGGGGCCGGCGTCCGCCTCCGCCTCCGGAGCAGGTGCCGCCCCTCCGGGGAACCCGGCGCCACCCATGTCGGGCATGCCACCGGGCATACCCCCCGGCATGCCGCCGCCCGCCCCGCCGGCCATCTTCTGGATGATGGGGTTGCACACGCCCTCGAGGTCCTTCTGCTTCTCCTCGTACTCCTCCTTCTCGGCGTTCTGGTTGGCGTCGAGCCAAGCGATGGTCTCCGAGATCTTGGTCTCGATCGTCGTCTTGTCGGCCTCGTCCAGCTGCGCGGAAACCTGTTTTTCGTTCCGGGAACGATAAGGGACAGGGTGCGGAAATAATGGTTAGGACGGAATACTTGCAAGTTCATCGAAACAAATTTATCAAGGCTTTCTTTGATGTGGTATGTGCATGATTTAACGTAGATATTCAACTACAAACCCAAGTATTTTGGTCACGCAGCGGTGATTGCCGTATATGTAGTACAATTCGACATACTTGATTTATTATCCCTCCAACAAGCACGCCAGCAACAACGCCATCGCACATTCGTACTTGCCAAAAACAAAAACATGCCTGCGGGACAACCCCACACGCAGGACTACGCAAACGGCGGATAGACGCGACACGAGAACCACAGAGGAACAAAAACATGGAAAGCGCGACACGGCAAAGATACGCACCTTCTCCTCGTTGATGGTGTTGCGCATCGAGTAGGCGTAGTTCTCGAGCGAGTTCTTGCCCTCCACGCGGCTCTTCTGGACGTCGTCCTCGGCCTTGTAGCGCTCGGCCTCCTCCACCATGCGCTCGATGTCGTCGGCGCTGAGGCGGCCCTTGTCGTTGGTGATGGTGATCTTGTTCTCCTTGCCAGTGGACTTCTCCACGGCGTGCACGTTCAAGATGCCGTTCGCGTCGATGTCAAACGTCACCTCGATCTGCGGCTGGCCCCTCGGCATGGGGGGGATCCCGTCCAGGTTGAACTTGCCCAGGAGGTTGCAGTCGCGGGTCATGGTGCGCTCACCCTCGTACACCTGGATCAGCACACCCGGCTGGTTGTCCGCGTAGGTCGAGAACACCTGCGACTTCTTCGCCGGCACCGTGGTGTTACGCTTGATGAGCGTCGTCATGATGCCGCCGGCAGTCTCGAGCCCCTGCCCGAGCGGAGTCACGTCGAGAAGCAGGAGCGAGTTGAGCTTCTCCGACTTGTCCTTGCCCGAGAGGATGGCGGCCTGGACGGTGGCGCCGTACGCGACGGCCTCGTCGGGGTTGATGGACTTGCACGGCTCCTTGCCGTTGAAGAACTCCGCCAGCATCTGCTGCACCTTGGGGATACGCGTGGACCCTCCTACCAGTACCACCTCGTGGATCTGGCCCTTGGACATCTTGGCGTCCTTAACCACCTGGTGTGGATTTCAATGGAGAGGGAAAACGTGGTAACGGTTTAAGGGTCGATAGGGCCACGCCAGCTGATGTCAAGTGAAAGGGAAGGTGAGGGATATGTTGGGAGGGCCACAGAGTCAACCAACCTAAATGCGTGTTGGGAGAACAAAAAAACATAGGAAAGTAAAGCCGACGTGTGCATACCTATGACCAAGGCCTGCGATGTCTTTGCGCTTCAAGATGAATGTCTCTAGCACGCTGTTGAAAGGTATCCACACCACGGCACGCGAGTGTTACGTTATGTGGGGTTCGATGTACAAGAACGAGAGACGTGCATGCGCAACAGACTTGCCCACTCTACCCAAAGTAGACGTAGCACACACCGACTCACAAAGCTACTTCTCCCGCTCAGTTGGGCATCCATGTTGAGGGAAAATCTCACCTTCTCCACGGGTGCCAAGCACTTCTGGAAGTAGTCCTGGTTCATGTCCTCGAACCGCGCGCGAGTGATGGTGGAGTTGAAGTCGATGCCCTCGAACAGGGAGTCGATCTCGATGTGCGCCTGGGTGGACGACGAGAGGGTTCGCTTCGCGCGCTCGCACGCCGTGCGGAGACGTCGGAGGGCGCGCTGGTTGGTGCTCATGTCCTTGCGGAACTTCCGCTTGAACTCCTGCAGTGTCAAAGAGAGGGAGGGGGGGGGAGGGGGGCCATGGGTCAGGGAGGAGCGACTACAAAGACGATTTGTACCGTACACAAGAATGAAAGGCAAATATTTTGCCTTTGCCTTGGGACACCATCGTTAAGCTTCCGGTACACAACCGCTTCCTGTGCCCACTACCGCTTGTCGACGCTACCACTTCCCACAATTCAACGAACAAACCGCCCAAACCCACACCCTCCGATCAACAGCAACTCTTGGGTCTACAAAAACAGGGATAACGTCAAAGGACATGCACCGCCCAATCACCTGCAAGAAGTAGTCCACCATCCGGTTGTCGAAGTCCTCCCCTCCCAGGTGGGTGTCCCCCGCGGTGGCCTTCACCTCGAAGATGCCCTCCTCGATGGTCAGCACGCTCACGTCGAAGGTTCCGCCGCCCAGGTCGAAGATGAGCACGTTGCGCTCCTCGCCCTTCTTGTCCAGGCCGTACGCGATGGCCGCGGCGGTTGGCTCGTTGATGATGCGCATCACGTTGAGGCCCGAGATGGCTCCGGCGTCCTTGGTCGCCTGGCGCTGGGAGTCGTTGAAGTACGCGGGCACGGTGATCACCGCGTTCTTGACCTGAACGTGTACGTGGCCGTTGATCAAAGCACGTAGGGTGGGAAATCCGAGGTTGAGCATCAGGGTGCCGTGCAATGGGGAGTCGCACACGTGTTCGAGTAGTGTGGTATGAAATATTTGCGGTGGGCAGGAGATGAGCGATCGCCACCAGATGACATGAAATAATATTTTAGTACAAAGGGGTAAATGTTCATGACACCCAGAACGGCGGGAAAGACGGAAATTCCGGCAAGGCAGCATGTGTTTGATGGATCGCAATTGCTAACCAATAATCTCATCTCTATCCCCTGGACCAAGCAGGGACGGGCGGAAACCAAAATAGGCTGTTGGCTCGTATTTCACCACTGCTGTCCTCCGTCAGGCACGTCCTGGGGCTTACAACCTCCTCTCAAATGCACTCCCGTTACATGTATGTAGAACAAGCATTCTTCACGCATTTCCGTGGGAAAATGGGCATGGGAAGTATGCAACACGACCGAGGAACCTCCGTGGAGTCAGTTGCTGTTCTTTAGAAAACATAAAAGTACAACGAGTACAGGGAAGATGGGCCACGGAAAAAAAAAAAAAAGTGACAGCAGATCAAAAATCCGTCTGCGATTTGGATACTGGAAATCTTCCGTGTGAGCATGCCAACACATACAGAAACGAGTAAGTCTAGTACTCGGCAGTGGTCGCTTTGCTCTCACCACGGCTGGATAACGCGCGTCCGTCGCAAGTCTTTCTAGAACGTGGTCTTAAAATTTTCAAGAGGTATGCTGTAGATACCTGTGTACCACGTGAGATTCGATTTTCAAAAAGAGAGCGGTTGTTCCGGCTTTGGGAGTGCGGAGAGATAGCGTACAGAATGTCGCGCAACGTTCAAAAGTAAAATAAAAACAAATCCAACAGCAGTAGATCGTACCAAGGACTGGGGTCCATCAGCATGGTGTCAGCAGCACCAAACCCTGCGAGGGGTTGCCCAACGATAGAGTCCAGACACACGTGCATGTACCGTGCTTCGGCCCGTTCTAGAAATATGGCGCGAACGAGGAAGAAAAAAGTCACGGCCGCCTGAAATTCCAACGACAGCGACCCTCCAGATCAACCCCTCAAACAAAGGCTAACAAGCGTACTCAGCACTCCAGGCAGCCACTCGAGGGCAATCTTTCTATTTGTCGCGCTAACTCACCTCCTTGCCAAGGTAGGCCTCGGCGATCTCCTTCATCTTGACCAGCACCATGGAGGAGATCTCCTCAGGCGCGAACTGCTTCTTCTCGCCCTTGAAAGATACCTCGATGGTGGGCTTGCCGCCGGGGCCCTCGACAACATCGAAGGGCCAGTGCTTCTTGTCGGAGGCCACGGCCGGGTCGGTGTACCTGCGGCCGATCAGCCGCTTGGCGTCAAAGACGGTATTGGTGGCGTTCATCGCCACCTGGTTCTTGGCGGCATCGCCGATCAGGCGCTCCGTCTCGGTGAAGGCAACGTAGGACGGAGTCGTGCGGTTGCCCTGGTCGTTGGCGATGATCTCCACACGGTCGTTCTGCCACACGCCCACACAGGAGTAGGTCGTGCCCAGGTCGATACCGATGCTCTCTCCCTCGACTGCTGCCATGTTTTCTGCTGTTGGTCTCGCGATTTACTGGCGGTGTGTTTGGTGTTGCAGTGATTCCAATTGTTGTGGGCAGAGGGGGCGCAAGAGGTCCTGCATGAGATTTACTTCTAGAAAAAAGCGAACATGCCTCCGCCAGTAACACGGGGATTGGGATAGTGTTCTCGAGCAGGAGAATTTCCAGAACAAATTATGGTTCTAGATGGTTTAGTTCAAACACCTACCTACTTCAGCCATGTGCGGATCCCCTTGGCGAGGAGTTGGAGTTGAGGAGCAGGGTTTGCGACGCAGAGTCATAGTGCAGCAGTGCGGCCACGCGGCGGGTACGGTGTTGCCCCACTCCGTTCCCGCCTACCTCAGTGCACTCCCCGCCGTCACTATCGCCCTCTCTTATTATTCTCTCTCACGTGCAACCCTCTGGAATCCTCTGTGCGTGTGAAGAAAAGCCTCTGCTTCTCTCAAGAGTTGCGAATCGTTGCCAAGCACATCATTTCACACCCTGCTGCCGAGGCAACCTCTCAGCGGCGATGGCTGGAGGGAGGGACTATGGCTTCGATTTCATGAAGAGCAGCCATCACGAGCAACGATTGCCAGGCGGTAAGTGGAATTGCCCGTGGCGTTCATTTTGACTAGAGGCCATCTTGGTTGCACTGACCTGCTGCTCGGCCTGCCGCGTACCGCAACACACGTTTACGCCGCGCGTATGTATGCGAACACCAAAGCGGAGACATCACAGGCCGCCGACAATCGGCTGAGCATTATCTTCAGGCGCAAGCGTGCTACTGGATTTATATATATACACGTGCTTCCAAAGATTTTGGCCCCACATTGAAGGTCGCGAAGGGTTGAAGGGTAATTTTTGTGTGTATGATATGAAGATGACATCACCCGCGGAACCCTCTGCCCGTTGTCACCCTTGGTGTCGAAGCCCTTCGTTGTATCGTTCGTGTCGTGTCGCAAAATCTGCGTCCCGTCTCGCCTTTGCGCACTGCTGGGGCTCTCGGTGCGTCCGTTTCCCACCATATGCGTAGCACATATTGTAGAACTACTTGGCCGTCCAATGCATACTTGATGGCAGAAAATGGTCATCTCGTCAGCGCATGACGCAAGATACCACCCCCGGACTGAATTGGGAAAGAGGAGGGGAGGAGATGCCTGCCACGAAATTGGCGCGGAAACAATAAAACGAACATTTGTATTTGAAAATATATGAAATACAGCAAAAAAAAATCTCACGGGAAACTTCCGAGGTGATGTGTAGAATCCGCCTTGATGTGCCGTTGTCGGCTGGGAAATCTCAAAGATTACACCTTTACTTGCTATTGTTTTCTGAGATGTGGTCCTTGCTGAATATTTCACTTGCGTACAATATAGGGTGGCCTGTATCGGCCGAGACTGGCTAATTTGCATGTTGAGAAGTAGGCGAGAGGAAGTACTGGTAGAGGTCGGACTAGACTAGAGGTTCCGAACGGTTTTGATATGAAGGCAACACAACAACAGCAGCCGCAGCAATACCCACGACCGACACATTTTGCGCGTTCCCAAGTTCAACCACATTTTTTTATACTTGACCGTTTCTGTCGTCGTTTCTGTTACGTTGAACGCTAAACAATCAGGAGGCTCGTCTTCATCATCGACGCCCTGGCTCGGGGGCAGCGGAGCGGTGGGCGCGGCGGGCGCCTTTGCCCATACCAAGGAACCGGTGCGTGCCTCTCTCTCTCTCTCTCTCTCTCTCTCTCTCTCTCTCTCTCTCTCTCTCTCTCTCTCTCTCTCTGTGTGTGTGTGTGTGTGTGTGAATGTGATGGTGAGAGCGTGTTCTCGCATACTGTACGAGCAAAGACTGCGCCTCGGTTGTCATACACGGTCATTGTACGAACATATCACTCGGTGTGTTGCCCCACCACCAAAGGGTGTGAGCTGCCCCCATGTTGACGTGGGTACGAGCTAGAGGGGAGAAACAGGAGGGCACGAAGGTTGTCTTGCGGCAGTATTGAAAGCAGCGTTCTTGACGTCGGGCAAGGTTGAAAACCTGCGGTCCGCCTCGACCGTCTTTTTTAGTAGCTGGTACCCTAGACGCCCGGTTTAAGTGCAATGCGAGGGACCTTCCGCATGGAAGCCGTCTGGGCTCCTCTCCCTCCCCGGGCCCGACTATCTATCCGACGTGCTTTTTCGGAATCTAAACCGCTTGTCCCACTGCCTTTACAAGGTTAAGAATGCGCTGCACGCGTTCTGCTCTAATTTATTTGGAAAGCCGGCCGCACTGCCGCCAAAGTTTAGTTTCCGAATGCGCTGCGCGTTAATTTGTGCTAATCATATGGCAACCCGGAAATGATTATAGTTTTTCCTTCTGGAGTTTGCAGAGACAGGTAGCCCTCATCGCTGAGGTAGGAAACCTCGGGGGTGGCCCTTGCACGTCCCCCTGGAGACAATGAAGAAACCTCTTGCCCCCCCCACTCCAAACTTGAAACCGATCGGAATGGCGCTGTAGCTCTCCTTCATGTTGTTACCGAATAAAGACATCCTCTGGGAGTAGCCCTGTTCCCCGACACCGATCCTTCCATTTTCTTTTCGTCGCAGGAGAAGAAGTCGGACGCTGAGCTGCAGGCGGATGTGGTGGATTTCCTCAAGAGGCGTTTGCAGCTGGGGAAAGGGCCGGTAAGGGGGCCTGGCTTGTTTACCATCACCCTAAGAGATGTTCTTATCGCAGTTTTCGTGTCACTGGATGAGGCCTGTCCAGTCGCAACTGCTCGACTTTCTTTCATCGTATAGGTACCACTCTCACGGAGGTCTCGCCAGCCGTCTCCGTAACCCCCCAAACGCAAACCTTTTACATGTTGTGAAGGCTACCATCACGGAGATCTCCGACGGGACCGACGTGGATCTCCGAAAAGGCCGCGACGAACATGTGCTCGAGATGCTCGTGGCTAATCCCAAGGTACACTTGCTGTGCGGTATGCTGTTTGCCCTCCGTTGATGTGAGGTTCCTTCCATCGCATTGTCTGTAGATCGGTGTGTACCATCACTCGTTTTTGCTAATTCGCCCCTTCTGGCTGCGGCGCAGCTGCTTCATATGTAGCCGGGGCGATTCAAGGCGGTAGTGTTGTGAGGGACCGGGGGTTGTTCCGTCACCTCGGTTTAGTACCTCTTATTATTTTGCTGCCATCTCAAGCTAGTGGGGTATTGATGCCCCAGGTAGCGGCGATGAAGGACGGCGAACCCAACCGGTACATGACCCCTGCCTGAAGTGTTTTAGCGTCTTTGCAAATGGAGATTGTAGACCACCGCACCCCTAACACTAAGCTCAGACTCAAAGTTGCAATATATGTACCTGTTTCAGGCGAAGACGTTTCAACGGCGGCAAGCCTAACTCCCCGATTCGTTGGCCTTGTAACCGGCACTGCTGGTTCCCCGGACGTGGTTGTGTGAAGAGAGTGACTGACGATCTCCAACCCTCGCTGCAACGTTGGACGTTTTTCAGGTGGAGGCGTTACACGACGAAGACCCCCTGCAGGAAACAGCCTTCACCTACATGGCCAAGTACGCGGTCACGAACAAGAGCGAACTGCTCCAGTTGGTGCGTACCACCTTTTTTTTTCCTTCGCGCTAACCACGTTAGTACCGCATGGGACATAAGACAACACCCTCTCCCCCCCCCGGTGGTGTCTAACATGATGGCCTCTGAGAAAATTACCACCTGGTGTGTTGTTGTATTGCGGTCGTATGGGTCTGGGAGTGTTTGTATCTTGTGGACTCGTGTTGACCCGTAAAAATATCCACCACCATGTGGGAGGGCGTTATCTTGCGTGTCATACGGTAGCAGCATGTGCGCCGCCGCATGAATGGCTTCAGGTGTTAGCGTGCAAACCTCTTTTCGGTTCCAGCTAGGAGCTGAAATAATCTCGGAAGCCTCTTAGGGTAGGCAGTACGTGCAAATATCGTCGTGGCGTTGTTTTCAAGAAAAAAAAAATGTTGTACGTTGGGTTTCGTTGTCGAAGCGGCTTGTTTCAAGAGGGGGTGGGGGCGACGGGGAGAGACGGAGTCGCCGGCCGCGCTAACTCACGCGCAGCATGCATCCAATCCGCCGAAGACTGGCTACAAGCAGGACGTATGCTTCAGCCTGTTGCAAAAGAAGGTCGATGTTATAGATATGGTCTTTTTTTTTCTCGATAGTCGAACTTCGTTGTTAATAACGGGTGGGCGAAAGGTGTTGGGAAACATGAGTCGCTCCTCCCCGCCCTGCTTGATGTTTGTTTCACACCTCGCTGCAAGGTAAAGCTCGGGAATATCCTACAGAATCGACCTTTTCTGGGCTTCAGGTTCGGGCGCTCACACCAAAATCCCTCCGTTTTTTGTTCGGTTGGTGCTGTGTAGATCAACAGGTGCAAGGGGGGTATCTGTTGGGAAGAGCTCAAGGACACATACAGCTCGGTGGAGGGGGATATGAAGGCCATGCAGGAGGCTGGCAAGGTCATCGCGGTCGTCAACAAGGAGACTCACAAGTAAGGGAGAAAACTTGTTGCGTTGCTTGTGTAGATGTGTAAGCTTGATGTTTCTACTCGAAGTTTTTTGGCGTGCGTGATTTCTCTTGTGCGTGTGTATTTTTTCGCCTTTTCGTGAAGCTTTGACCGTGCTACCCGGGTGACCAATAAGCATTCGTTGATGTGTTTGTTGACCAAGAATGCCAAGAACTTCTCATGCTTGGGCCCATCGTACTGTAAAATGGTTCTTTGTCGTTGTTCAGTCTGTCTTGATGCCACCGGGGGTCACGCCCCCCCTTTTTGGCACAGCAAACGCAAGGAAACTGAGCACTCATCTTTGTGAAACATAGCCTAGGCCGGTGAAAACCCAGCATATCGCTCCGTCCCGTCATCGTAGGAATGCGAGGTCAATGGTCTAACGACTACGGCTAATGAGCATACCCCCCCCCCCTCGAAAACCGCAAGAATGAACTTGTACCCGCGAGGGGATGTCTTCCTCACCGAGCTCCCCGGATCGATTCGGATAAAGCCCGGGTCGGAGGTAGCCTTGACGGCAGAGGACATGAACCAGCACATCCGGAGGGGGGAGGCGGTGCGCATCTCGGGGCAGTGGTTCCGAGTGTCATCCGAGGTGTGTCTTGCGTTCTGGGCACGATTACGTAATTCCGGTAAAACCGCCTGCACTATCTGTAAAAAAAAGTGTTAAGCACAACATATATGTTCGATGCCATGATGATGGAAAAAAAAAATGACTTTCGGACGCTAACTGTACACCCATGATGCCCCTGCCACTTCCTTCGCATTTACATCGACTTTGGAAACGGCTGTTGTTGTTGTTGTTGTTTTTGTTATCTTACATTGACAACCGTTCCGGTCTCTGCTCAACACTCTCTGGAACCCAACTGACGTGGCCGCTTTCCTTCGACGAATGTTTTGTCTGAAATTGTCGGGAAATACTTGGCGGGAAAAACGGCGGCACAACTCCCGGGACTGCTGTTTTCTCGTGGGGTCAGACTGTGGGCAACCAAACCCTGCGCTCCGCGGCGCCCTTAACTGTGACCATGAACGCAGACCTTTCCGTCCGGTGAGAGACAAGATGGATGTGCTCCTCTTAATGAAGGTTGGCACAATTATTTTTTTCTTTTTCTGTTTTACCGTATTATGTATGGTGTCTGGGCACGACTTCGTGCGTGGTGCGCGAGGTGTCTGTCATCAACACTGCCTATTCATGACAATCGGAGCCAAATTGCAGCCGGCCGAGTCAACACTCGACCGCCCTCGCTGCCACGCCCACTCCAAAGAAAAACGGACGTCTTTGCGGAGGACATGGGCGCACCGGTAGACGACGAGGGATCAGCGACCATCGGCCGGGTGCAGCAACAGTGGTCTGCCAAGGGCAAGGTTGAACCGCAGCACCCACTCCCTCTAAATGGCGTAAGTGGAGGACCGCTGGACCCCTTGCAGTCGTACAGTAGCGAAACATTTTTTTTGCCGGAGAGAAAATGCCGTTTTTTTTGTGGTGGTGGTGG